TATTGAACTCTTCTTTCATCAATTATTCTCTTCATTGCTAGATTCCCTGCTTTATCCACTAATGCCTTCAAGTCAGCACCAACAAAACCTGGTGTCGCCCTAGCTATCTTGAACAAGTCAAATTCGCCTTCAAGTCGAAGATGCTGAGTAAGCATCTTCAATATTTGCTTTCGTGCATTCTCATCTGGAACACCAAGAGATATCTCTCGGTCAAACCTTCCTGGCCTTCGCAGGGCTTGGTCCACAGCATCAGGCCTATTTGTGGCTCCAATGACAATAACATAACCAGGTTTCTTTTCAGATGATTCAGCTTCCAAGTTGCCACTGCCTGATCCAATATTTTGGTGGAATTGGTCCATGCATGTCATTAATTGAGTAACTATACGCCGTTCCATTTCTCGTTGTAGATTCTCCCTCTTGGATGCAATTGCATCTATCTCATCAATAAATACAATCGAGGGAGCAGTCCGATAAGCCTTCTGAAATAAGCCCCTGATGTTTTCCTCAGAAGCTCCTGCAAGAACATAGGCGTAATGAGGTGGGCTTCCGCATGAATCCTGACAGAATTTAAATTTATCCTTGTGCAGGAATGAATGTGTATAGCCAAGGTTATTAAGGCGGTAAGGCGAGGTGTGGCGAGCTACCCCCTTCCAGACGCCTAGGCGTTTAAGGCGTGAGGCGAGGCGACGTCATACAAACAACTTAGTATACAATGTCACTAGAATTTAGAAGCAAATTAAACTAGAGTACTAGCTCACAATACCGCCAGTTCTTAGCATGTAATACCATAATAGGTAGTGCTACTAGAGTAATAGTGCACAATATAAAGTAGCAAAATAGCAAATCTAAAATCTCTCCTCTCAATAGCAACAGATTAGACTAATGACATAATAAAGCAGCAAGCTAGCAACGAATCCAGTATATACGCTCTGATCTAATTATCCAAGCATAGGAAGGAGCAGACCACAGCAAAGAACAGAGGAACGAAGGGGAGCACAGAACAGAGGAACGAGAGGGAGGAATAGAAAAGATGTACTTATGCCGTGAACCGCTGGCCGGGAGGCAAAGCAGAGGAAGGAGTTGAGGTTGGATAATGGGCGGACGTTGGGGTAGTCACGAATCGAAGAGCAGAGGGGTGGGGCGCAGATTGAAGCGGGCAGGCGGCAGATCCAGGCGGGCAGGCGGCGGCGGCGGCTTCCAGGTTCTCCCGCTGCCCTCTTCTATCCCCTCTCTCCTCTCTTTCCCTCCCCCTCTCTCAAATCGCATGGAATCCTGATGTGGCGCTTGCGGGAGAGGTATAGGTGCGCCGCGTGATTCCCTCCCGCGCTCCTTTCCCGTGCGCATGATTCCCTCCCAGCGTGATTCCCTCTCTTTCATGCGTGCACTGCCTTCTCCCGCGCGTGCTGCGTCCAGCCGACACCTTGGCGCCTGAGGCGACGCCATACACGGCAAAGTGGCGACGAGCCCGACGCCTCGGTTTGAAAACCGCCCAGACGCCTAGGCGACGCCTTAATAACCTTGTGTATAGCCACAAAAAGAGAATATATATACCCTCCCATTTGTCGGCTAAGCCATAAGGGTGGCTGCAAAGCTGGATAAATACCAGCTCTTTCGGAAATATATCGTCACATCTAAAATTTTCAGCAGTTATTTAGTATGATTCTGATTTCATGATGGCTAACCAGGTTTAAAATTTGGTAGTGCCTTGTTAGTAACAACATACTATTGCATTATTGAGCACTACACTGATATTCAGGAAAAACTTGGTCCAGATATTAACAATGCCTAAACAGAGCTCATCCTATTTCATCAATTCCTAGATTGTGCAAAATATTAGGAACACCAATCTCCCACAGCGACAGCTACATTTAGTATGCTAAATACACATCTTGCAAGGTAAACAGCACCATTAATTTTACAGCCTGCACTGATGACATCTAATCAAGCAAAAGGGCACAGGCAGCACACACATTCATAATCAAACATGACTAGCAGCTTAAACTCATTTGTCCAAATACTCAACACGAGCAAAGCATCCAGCTTTCTCCCTCATTATTTTGATGCAAGGAATCAGAAAGCATACCAGACACCCCAGATACGACTTCCGGTGCGGAGATCTTATAGAACGGCAAGCCAGTCTCGTTGGCAATGGCATGGGCAAGGGTGGTCTTTCCGCAACCAGGCGGTCCGTGCAGCAGCAGCCCAGCGACAGGCCTGACGCCAAGTCGGTGCGGCAGCTCAGGATGGCACAGAGGCACGACCACCTCCATCATGAGCTCCTCGATCACCGCCTCCATCCCGCCGAGGTCGGCGAACCTCGGCCCCTTGTCCCCTCTGCCGAACCCTTCAGCAGCAGCCAGGGCGGCCTCCGGCTTGGCGTCGCCGCCGCCACCGCCGTCGGCCGTGATGAGGCGGCGCGGCTTCTCTGCGGTGACCTCGATCTCCAGCTGCTGGTTCCGCTTGGCCGTCTGCGCGGCGTAGTTGGAGCGGATAATGGAGTTGGTGAGGTCGAAGGTGGGGGCTGGTGGCGACGGGTGGGCGGCGGCGTCGGAGACGGAGGTGGAGGAGGATGTGGTGGCGTGGCCGTCGTGGCGGCGGCGGCGGGAGGCGGATGAGCCGTCGTCGGAGGAGTCAGAGGAGGAAGGGGAGGAGGGGGAGGGGATGGGGATGGAGGCGAGAGCGCGGCGGACGCAGGCGACGAAGGGGCCGTGCTTATGGCGGCCGAGCTTCGGGTGGTGGATGCGGAGGGTGTTGGCGACGTCCTCGGCGGAGGCGCCGCGGCGGGCTAGGCCGCCGTTGAGTATGCGGCGGTGGAGTTCCCACTCTAAGGACGACAGCTGGGAGCGGCCGGCGCCGTTGCCGGCGTGGCGCGGGCGCTTCGCCATGGGCGCCGTGACGCGGGGTCGCTACTGCCGCGTGCGACGGAGAGGAGAGAAGCGAGAGGCGGAGGGGGGCGGCGGGCGGCCCGGCCAAACCCTAATCACGGGGCTTTTTACATATTTACCATTATTACGATCGTCACTTATATTAATCGCACTCTTAGAATGACGCTTATAAATTTAGCCGTTTTAGTTCACGCTCCTTTCATTTTTACCACTTTCGCCTATGTGGCACGCCAGCTCGTGCTGACACGCTGGCACCGGCACAGGAAATGACCCCGCTGTCCCCGACCATCTTTCAATTAGACGCGCCGTTGCCCTCTCCCTTTTCCCCCTCCCCATTTCGTTCGCCGCCGCCTCATTCCTTTGCCCGCCCGCCGCCCCCATCCTGCTCGTCTCCACCGCCACGGCCACCACGGACGGCAACCTTGGTGTTCTTCGGCACATCCATCATCGACGGATCGAAGGTACGTGCCCTACTTCGTAACTGGGACACAGAGCCCGCGTCGAGTAGGGTTAGGGATTAGGTTAATGTTCGCTGATTTCGTCTTGCTCTGCTATTTTCTTCATAGGCGATTTATGTAGTACGTCTTCATCTGATCCGTATCGCAATGGCCACTGGTGATTGCCCTCCTTGGTAAGCACTTTACCACAATAGGTGTGTAGTACTTAGTCTGTACTTGCTTATGTTTTTCCATGTCTATGATGATGCCAAGATCGATCCTGGCAGTGCATTTAGGCTAGTTGTTAAGGTTAGTCCATATGTTGCTGATGAATATGGTCTAGTGGACATGGCAGAGCAGCAGCATGACATCTGGTTTGATAGGAACGATCAGTATTCTCTTACTAAATTCCATGATGATTTATCAACAAAGACTATCTAGGGGCCTTCTCAAACACTTGCAGTTTGGGTTGTAGACCAAGAGACTGGCTCTGAGTAGAAGCTTAGGAGGGATGAACATGTGCAGCAAATGATTAAGGACCACTGGGATGAGAGGGTGGCTTTTCTTACAGTTGATGTTGTCAAGAAAGGTGTGTGTAATGACAATGCTAGTTCAACTGCTTCTAGAGCTAGATGTGTCTCTAGTGTGACTAATGAACATAGTGCAGAGCCTAATGATGTTGAAGGCTATGGTGATACTTGTAGCACCCCACCCTCCCATGATGAACAACCTGTAGTAGTAGTAGTTGATTGGAGCATTCTAACCATTCAAGAGAACCCTAAAGATGATGGTACTGCTACACAGCTTGTTGATGAGGATCAGATATATGAGGCTATGGGATTCAAGGAAGCTGAGGCAAAAGAGGAAGAACATGGTACACAAGAGGTGCCAATTCTAGCTATGTCAGCACAGATGCATGAAAACATGAATGCAGCAGCTGTTGATGTTGATGACATTGCTCATGAAGAGCCACTGTATGAATGGGACAGGGATAATCTTGATATGAGTGTAGGCACTGTGTATCCCAGCATGGAGGAGCTTAGGCTAGTAATTAAACAATATGCTATAAAAATGGAGTTTGAGCTTGTTACTGAGCATTCAGACACAGAAAGATACAGGGTCTGCTGTGGTGCTCTAGGCTGCCCATGGAAACTTAGAGCCACAACCCAACATGATGGCAGTGTCAGGGTATATTTTCTGATTGTATACACATGTTTGTTGTAGTTTTTGTTTGCATTACATCTTCTCCATTGAACTGGTGGTTTGAAGCCTTTCAATTATACTTATGTATGGCTTTTTTGTACATGCAGATTCAAATAAATAAATAAGATCATAAGTGTGCATCTACACAAAGGGTTGAAGGCAACACTATGACCTCAATAAAATGGGTGGCAGAGAGAGCAGTTCAATTCTTAAAGAAGAAGGCATCAATGGGGGCTACAGAGATGAAAAAGGAGTTGAAATTCAAATATGGTATTGACATCCCCTACCAGACAGTGTACAATGGGACTAGGAGAGCATCTAAAAAGCTTTTTGGTAAGTGGAATGATTCTTTCGATTGGTTGTATAGGATAAAGGCTGAGATAGAACTGAGATCACCTGGTAGTGTGGTAGAGATAGACACTATCACAGATGATGAAGGCAAAGTTAGGTTTAGCAGATTCTTCTATGCATTCAAAGCAAGTATAGATGGTTTTTTGAATGGCTGTAGGCCTTATATCAGTGTAGACTCCACTGCTCTGAATGGGTCCTGGAATGGCCACATGCCAGCAGCCTTAGCTCTAGATGGCCATAACTGGTTGTTTCCTTTAGCATTTGGCTTCTTTGACTCTGAGACAAAAGACAATTGGGTTTGGTTTATGGAACAACTTAGGAAAGCAATTGGACCCATGGAGCACTTAGCAATCTGCACAGATGCATGCAAGGGTTTGGAGTCAGCTATAAAAAGTGTGTTTCCAGATGCAGAGTGGAGAGAATATTTTAGGTATTTGATGGAGAATATGAAGAAGTACTACACAGGTGATGTGTATGGCAAGAATATGTGGCCTGCAGCTAGAGCATATTCCCCACATAAGTTCAAATACTTCTTTGACAAAGTGTTGGCAGCTAGTCCAGAGGTGCAAAAATGGCTTGATGAGCACCATCCATTTCTTTGGGCAAGAAGCAAGTTCTCTGCTGATATCAAGTGTGACTACATAAACAACAATCTAGCAGAATCTTGGAATGCTTGGATCAAAGAGCACAAAGACCTGCCTGTGCACTGCATGGTAGATGCCATTAGAGAGCAGATAATGATCTTGTTTGCCAAAAGAAGGAAGATTTTTATAGCATTGCCTCCTGGTATATTGCCTACTGTCATCTATCAGCTCAATGCTGCCTCCAGGGGACTAGGTCACATGCATGTTTCCAAAGGCCACCCTACTGAAGCTGAGGTCACTGAGGTGTACAAAGATGAAGAAGTTAGAAGGCATATTGTGTACTTACCTCAGAAAATTTGCACTTGTAGGCAGTGACAACTAACTGGTAAACCATGTCCACATGCACTAACAGTTATCACCAGCATGAGGAACCCTGACATGGGATCCTTTGTGGACAACTATTATTCTATGGCCAAGTTTCAAGCAGCATATGCGGGTATAATTCCAAGCATCACTGATAGGAATCAATGGCCTGAGGTGGCCAAGGGGTACAAAGTCCACCCTCCACTACAGAAAAAGAAAGAGCCTGGAAGATTGAGAAAAAATAGGATAAAACCAGCAAGGGAGACAGGAAGCAAAGCAACTAGGCAAGTCAGGTGCCCAAACTGTAAAGAGTATGGTCACAGGGCTAGTAGCTAGAAGTGTCCCCACACTAGAACAAAGAAAAGGTGCCTTCTAACTGTGATTTACTTGTTTTTGTTTTTTTGTAAATGATAACCACTAACCCTACACTTTGTAGGAAGAGAGCAAGTAAGAAGAAATCAGCCAAGGTTGGGAGGAAGAAGGCCAAGACATCTGGTGGTGATGAAGCACTAACTCCAAGAACAAGAGCAGCATTGGCAAGAGAAGCATCAGCAAAAGCTAAGAGGGAGGCCCTGGAAGCACAAATGAAGGCAGAAGCAGCAAGGGAACTAGCAGAAGCAACAGCAAGGGAGGAAATGGAAGCTACAAGAAATGAATTTGAAGCAGCAAGGGAAGAAGAAGGAGGCCTAGAACTAATGGCTTTGGAAGCTGTTCTACCAGAAACACCAATTAGAAGGTACTCATTTCATCTTCTTTAAGATGGTTAATTGAAACTATGCTGGTAACTAAATATGTTTTTTCCTATAATAGGGCACTGTTTGCACAAGATGAAGTCCAACCTGAGCCTGTGAAGAAAATTACACCAAGGAGGAAGCAGTTAGCAACTAAAGTAAAGAAAACTCCACCACCGAAGAAGAATGGAGAGAAGGACAAGGGGAAGGGCAAGGCCAAGGCCAAGTGACCATGGATGGTCTTTTATGCAATGATCTGGAACTTTTGTGTTCAATGGCATGTAATTTATGTTATGTACTTAAATGGGCACAGAAACAGTAAGCATGGTGCCCTTATTTTGGTAGTGAAGAACATCTCAGTTATGTGATGGCAAACCAGCCCCTATTTGAATGTCAAGAACATCTTATTTATGTAATGTAATGGCAAACAATTAGCCCATATTTCAATGTCAGCTTGTAGTTGCTCTTTTTCATTACAAGTTGATTGTAACTGCTCATTCACTGAAAACAACTCCAACTGCTCATTCATTTGAAACTGAGAATGCACAATTCCAACTGCTCATTCATTCAAGCATACTGGACAACCAATTTCATTGAAATAAAAGGGTTCATTGTCATACAAAGTCACTACATCAGGTCATCGTAGATTTGAAAACTACTCCAAACACAACAACCACAAGACAAACAATGACATAGTTCATTTTTGACATCATCTTCTCAAGCTTCTTCTCCAGTGCCTCAGTCTTCAGGTCCTTCAAGCCTTCCACCCCCAGATGGGCGCCTTCACTGTGCTCTTCTCCTCCCTCCTCCACTAGTTCCTCAATCTCCTCGCAGCAGATCCTGATGATCTTCTTGTCGACCAATTCATCGAAATAAGCCTTCTGGAACCTATAGAAGCTACAGAGCTGCGGATTGTGCAAAAAAAAGAAATAAATAAGACAAGCTAGGGCTAGAATGAAAGAAAAAGGAAAATCACCAAAACTCACCCCGTTTCTAGGGCATTTGAAGAAGCTGTTGCCCTTGTTTCGAGTGTCCTGCACCACGCGAAGCTCAATCACACGAGCGAGCTTGCAATCGGGGTAGACAATCAAGGGGAGCCCTGTTTCCGTACCAACCGGATAGGCCACAAACCTAGCGACCGCGGAACTCAGCCTCCTCGCCGGCCTACTCGAGCTGGATGACTCCACCCTATGCGACATGGTTGCAGTCCGTGGCGGTGGAGACGAGCAGGATGGGGGCGGCGGGCGGGCAGAGGAAGGAGGCGGCGGCGAACGAAATGGGGTGGGGGGAAAGGGAGAGGGCAACGGCGCGTCTAATTGAAAGATGGCTGG